AACAAGTTAGGCGTCCTCTAATTGTTGTTGCAAGTTTTACGTGGCTGAATTAGGGTTCTAGCAAGAACGTTTTCTTACCTACGTTAAAGCCACAACGTGATTTATCAACTTCTATTTACCCTTCATAAGGACCCTGTTCATCGATTCCGCTCCAACTAAAGTAGGAGAGACAGACACCCGCCAGCCACCTTATGCAACTAGTGCATGTTAGTCGGTGGAACCGGTCTCACGTAAGCGTACGTGTAAGGTTGGTCCGGGCCGCTTCATCCCACAATACCGCTGAAGCAAGAAAGGACTAGTAACGGCAAGAAAGTTGACAAATCTACGCCCACAACAAATTGTGTTCTACCCGCGCAAGAAGAACTACGCATAGACCTAGCTCATGATGCCACTGTTGGGGAACGTTGCAGAAAACAAAAATTTTCCTACTCGTTTCACCAAGATCATCTAGGAGTTCATCTAGCAACGAGTGATTAGATGCATCTACATACCTTTGTAGATCGCGAGCGGAAGCGTTCAAAAAAACGGTGATGATGTAGTCGTACTCGACGTGATCCAAATCACCGATGACCAGCGCCAAACGGACGGCACCTCCGCGTTCAACACACGTACGGAACAGCCACGTCTCCTCCTTCTTGATCCAGCAAGGGAGGGAGGAGAGGTTGAGGGAGATGGCACCAGCAGCAGCACGACGGCGTGGTGTTGATGGAGCTGTAGTACTCCGGCAGAGCTTCGCTAAGCACTATGGAGGTGGAGGAGGTGTTGGGGAGGGAGAAGGAGGCAACCAAAGGCCAGGGCGTTCAGGTATGAAGTCCCTCCTCTCCCCCACTATATATAGGGGTGCCAAAGGGGGGGTGGCCGGCCCTAGGAGATCCAATCTCCTAGGGGTGCGGCGGCCAAGGGGGGTTTCCCTCCCCCCCAAGGCACCTAGGAGGTGCCTTACCCTCCTAGGACTCTTCCCCCCTTAAACCCTAGGCGCATGGGCCTATGTGGGGCTGGTGCCCTTGGCCCATTAGGCCAAGGCGCACCCCCTTACAGCCCATGTGGCCCCCCGGGACAGGTGGACCCACCCGGTGGACCCCCGGGACCCTTCCGGTGGTCCCGGTACAATACCGATAACCCCGAAACTTGTCCCGATGCCCGAAACAGGACTTCCCATATATAAATCTTTACCTCCGGACCATTCCGGAACTCCTCGTGACGTCCGAGATCTCATCCGGGACTCCGAACAACATTCGGGTTACTGCATATACATATCCCTACAACCCTAGCGTAACTGAACCTTAAGTGTGTAGACCCTACGGGTTCGGGAGACAAGTAGACATGACCGAGACGACTCTCCGGTCAATAACCAACAGCGGGATCTGGATACCCATGTTGGCTCCCACATGCTCCACGATGATCTCATCGGATGAACCATGATGTCGAGGATTCAATCAATCCCGTACGCTATTCCCTTTGTCTATCGATATGTTACTTGCCCGAGATTCGATCGTCGGTATCCCAATACCTCGTTCAATCTCGTTACCGGCAAGTCACTTTACTCGTACCGTAATGCATGATCCCGTGACCAGACACTTGGTCACTCTGAGCTCATTATGATGATGCATTACCGAGTGGGCCCAGTGATACCTCTCCGTCATACGGAGTGACAAATCCCAGTCTTGATCCATGTCACCCAACAGACACTTTCGGAGATACCCGTAGTCTACCTTTATAGTTACCCAGTTACGTTGTGACGTTTGGCATACCCAAAGCACTCCTACGGTATCCGGGAGTTACACGATCTCATGGTCTAAGGAAAAGATACTTTGACATTGCAAAACTCTAGCAAACGAACTATACGATCTTGTGCTATGTTTAGGATTGGGTCTTGTCCATCACATCATTCTCCTAATGATGTGATCTCGTTATCAATGACATCCAGTGTCCATAGTCAGGAAATCATGACTATCTGTTGATCAACGAGCTAGTCAACTAGAGGCTCACTAGGGACATGTTGATGTCTGTTATTCACACATGTATTACGATTTCCGGATAACACAATTATAGCATGAATAAAGACAATTATCATGAACAAGGAAATATAATAATAATGCTTTTATTATTGCCTCTAGGGCATATTTCCAACAAACATAACAATAGATTACATACACTAGGCATCAAATTTTGCCAACAATGCAAATAAAAGAAACAACAAAACAAGTCCAGAGAACTAAAACCACTTCAACAAAACTTAAGAAACGTCATCCTGAGTATCCACTATGGCGACAAGAACCTTAGCAAGCTAATGAACATTCCCTTGTTTAGCTTTGAGATCCTTCATCGGTTTTGTTTTTGTGCAAGAAAGTGTGCATCTGATTTCTCCAGAGTCTTCCTTGGTGATTCAACTTCTTGTCGGAGCATAGTTGAATAATGTTTTTTGGTTTGGAGTTGATACTGGAGAAGCTGAACTAATTTGCGCAGAGCCTTTGAAGAGCTTGCGCCAACAGTAGTGGCCAGTATCTCGGACACTACATCAAGACATGACTTTGGGTTTGTCTTGCTATCTTGAATATAGTTTGCCTTCTTATTTGCATTATTTGCTTTACCATAGAGAAACAATGAGGTTGTCTCATTATCTTCAGAAGACTTTTCCATCATAAATGTGCTAGTATTCTGAAAGAGAAATAAACAGACAAATAAAAGGTTTAGCATGCATATGAAACACATTTTGATAAACCAATTCAGTGGTAAAATGGATAGGATTATACTAGCATGTCTTTTATTGCTAAGTACATAATAACATCATGAAATGAACATATCTCCTTGTACTATGACCACTATATTATCTATTTCATCTCATTTTATTTTGGCAAATCAAGATAGATACATAATTTAAAATAGGATTAACATGATATGTTATTGTTCATATCATCGGAGAAATCAGTTAAGAAAAAACACCATTGACATAATGGAAGTGTGGGAAACTCCACAACACCTCAAGATTACAGACGGATACCAGAAACATACATGCTTGACTAAAGAACATTATTGGCTCTGTTTTGATTCTAGTAATGAACATGGCATGAGAAAATAATTGTTTATATAATTGAAATTGAAACCAACATAGAGCAAGAGGTTACAATAGCAAACCAGCTAAACAAACAAGTTTTTATTTGAGTTTCTCCACCATTATCCCACCTCTAGACCAAATCTTCCATTTGAGTTGCTCTACCATTGCCAACACCCTAAAAGCTTGATTTCTCTTCATCCCTCCACTCAAACTCCACCAAACCATGATGATCGAAAGAGAATCACCTGATCTACACTTCCACCAAACCAATTTGTAGTCACCATACTTGTGCATCACCAATACTTGTTACTTTTGGAGATTTGGGACTCATATGCGCTAGAAGTAAAGCCTGAAAGCTTTCTTTCATGTGGTGTAATCCAGGGAAGTTTTAAAATGTCCGATGGCCGCCTTCAAGACCAACCACGAGTGATTTGAGGCTCATCCATTAGGGTGACCCGAAGGGAGACTAGGTTGAGCCACTTGGTGGCGTTCAGGAGTTTTAGCTTTCGTACCTCTCTAGCGGAGATTAGCAATTGGCACATCTATGTATTCAACTTGTGTGGTTAATCCATTTTTGTACCTGTACTTGTGTTTGCTTGCTAGCTAGCTTGTTGTTCTATCTTATCTAGTGTATTAGCTTGCTTGTCATATAGGTTCTCACCATAGATTCCATTTGTAGGGAACTCACTTTATTCACATTACCCCTAACATTGGAAGTTAAGCTTAAATTTTGTAATCTCCGACTCACCTCCACCTCCCCCCCCCCTCCCCAGTGCGCTCCATGCGACCTCTCGACCATTTCACCCTCGGTCCGGTGACCATTTCACCCTCGGTCCGGTGAGAGCTGGAACTGGTGATCCAGATCCAAAGGGTGAAGAATTCCCATAGTTGAGCTATGGAATGCAGCTTTGCAACCGCTCTGATCCAGCTACCCCCGTTCAGCTCATGGTGCACCGTTATGCTTTCTAGATGCAATCTTGAACAACCCTGATGCCAACGAGTTGAGGGGGGGCCTTCAAATTGTTGTGCGAGAAAAGTTCACCGTGGACATCTTTAGTGGCCATGGTGGTGAAGGCCTGAAAAATTCTATGTCGGATTGGTTGCATGGAAGCTGAGATGCCACCTAAGGTCTGTTAGCGTTGGTCCATTGCAGCCAAGGCCAACGAAGACGCAAAGCACGCCCAAATCTATCAATGTCGACAATACCAAGGCCACCCAAGTGCTTTGGCGAGCACATTGTGTTTCGATTAACCAAAGAGTGCCCTCGAGTGATTATGATCATCTTTCTTGCCAGACGAAGTTGTAGGTGATATTGCCTAATTTGCTCGGGATCGACTATAAGTTAGGTACCTGAAAATAAAATTTCATCAGTCACTTTCAACCAGAGTCGTTAGATCCTCTTCCTCGTGACGCCGGCGGCATGCCTTGCCCTAACCACCGGCCTCCACCGCCCGCGGCCGGTGGGCGCTACCGCCCACCGCCCCGCCCTCCCCTCAACCTCCCCCCACCGTTGTTGCTGGCCGCTGCCCTGACCTCCCTCTATGCCCCGCCCACCAGGGAAGACTTCCGGCGAGGATTGATAATGGAGCAATAAATTCACCCTAAGATTGATAGTGGGGCTCTCTTCTGCGGAGAGGTTTCAGAAGAAGGAAGAAGGTGACTGAGGCTAGAGAATTTTCAGGTACGTGAGAAATAGCAAAACTGAATTTGCTCAGGATACAATACGGAGGGGTGAGGGCCGTCAAGTGGTATGTAGCAGTGGCGGTGAGGACGTACTTTGGCAGAGTAACCCTCCCAGTCATGTTCAAGTGCAGCAAAATCACTGCTCTATATATGTTATTTCTTGCCTGTAAGTAAGATGTACACTTTGTCAACCTAAGCACGACACACCCCAACCGAAGCCGACCTCTCATTTTCTTCTGCATGCAGTTCTAAGACTCTCCTGTCATGCAACGACGGAAGAATTGCAGAACAAGCAGCCGTCCGAAATCAACCTTCGGATCACGCTCCCCTCCTCCATTTCGATCCCTCTGCTCTCCCTGTTCCACAGATGGATGCCGAAGCTCCCACCTCTGATGTTGTCCACCTTGGCCTGCACCCACTTCTCCTCCTTCCTGTCCTTGGGCGCCATGAACAGCCCGCCGATCTTGTTCCAGTCCACGGGGTAGAACGCCCGCGGCGGCAGCACCGTGACGTCGAGCTCCGGCATCCGGCGCGTCACCCTCGACACCAGGTAGGGCCCGTTGTGTCCCCACTTGCTGCCGTCGAACGTGGCGGCGAACTCGGCGATGAACTCGCGCAGCAGCGGGTGGCCCCGGTCGAACGCCATCACGGCGTTGTTCAGCCGCATCCAGTCGCCGGTGGCCGCGTCCACGGCCTGCGCCCCGATGGCGTTGCGGAGGCCCGACAGGGGCCTGAGGACGACGACGTCGGCGTCGAGGTAGACGCCGCCGTACTTGTAGAGCAGCGCGAGGCGGAGGAGGTTGGAGAGGTTCTGCCCGAGCGGCACGCTCCCCGGGCTGACCTCCCCGCGCCGCACCGCGCCGAGCCACGACTCCGCCGGCGTGCCGCGCAGGAGGTGCACCAAGTCCGGCGACGCGGCGCGGACGCGGAAGCCGCGGTCGAGGAACGGCCGGAGCCTGTCGCTGCCGACCGGGGAGTCCATGGTGTCGGAGGCGATGAGGAGGCAGGCGTCGCGGTGCCACCGGAAGAGGGTCTCCAGGACGAGGGCCTCGCGGCTTCCGAACTTCTCGAGCGGGGACAGCCACGTCATGAAGAAGCGGTGCGCACACGGCCGCTGCGGTGACGGCGGCGCGAAGAGCTCGGCAGTGCGCGCCGCGAACTGCCGCGTCCGGGGAGCTTGCCTGATCAGGCGCTTGAAGAGGCCCTTGTTTCGCTTCGTGGAGGATTTCTTGCTGTTCTTCTTACTCTTAACCGGTGGAGTAGGTGCAAGAGGGGGAGGAGGCACCGGCGGCGGTGGCGAAGCCGAGACGTGAAACGCGAGCAGGGTCCTGTCCATGGAGACGTCAAGGCCAGCGGCGGCGGCGGCGGCAGCGCCGGTCGTTGTGGCATTTGCTGACCTCGAAGGTGACTGCGGCAGGAGAGGGCAGAGGAGGAGGCTGAAGGTGGTGTGCGATAGGAGGAAGACAAGGGAGAGGAGTAGGAGGAGGACGGGGAAGGAGAAGGAGAGGAGGAGCAACGGCAATGGCTTCCGAGGGGCCGGCGCCATGGTCGGAGTGGGAGGGAAGAAGAGCGAAGCAGCGTGGATTGCCGTAGGAGTAGTAGCCATGGCGTTCGTGCCTTGGTGCGCCCTTGCACCATGCGCATTGGCAAGTAACTGAAAAGATCGCGGTCTTTGTAACATGGGAAGGGGGGAGACGCCATCCGCATGACTGCATGATGAGTGCAGACAGGTTAAAATTAAGTACACTTGCTACTTTCACCAACTAATTCTCCCGATATTCTGATGTCAACTCTCAACCATAGTGCGTTTACTTGCCATGCATTAGGATCAAAATTTTAAATGGCGAACTATAGCATTTGAAGTGGCGTCACGGTAAAGTTACGTTTGTTTTGCGCTAAATAAATTTATTGCAAATAGCGCGGTATAGCGTGATTTAGCGCTAAATTTGGACCTCAATTTAGCACCACGCTAAGCTATGCCAAGCTTTGCATCTTATGGCTGGATGCCAGGCTTTGTTTTGCTATGGCTGGATGCCAGGTCCATTGACATATGTATGTATGTCAAATTGTCAAGTATACCTATATAGTATGTGATATTGATGCCTAATATTGTCTGCTTTGTTAAAATTTCTATATGATTTAAGCAAAAATGCTTAATAGAGCTTAGCTTCCCTATTTGTTTTTTATAGCTTCTGGCCGATCCGCCACTAAATGGCATAGCCCACTGTTTAAAACTTTAATTAGGAAATACTCCCTCCGTAAATTTTAATATAGTGACCTAAAAGATCTTATATTTCGATATAGTGGGAGTACTATATACAAGTGTGTGCACCCATTGCCCTTGTATGTTTACATCAATCTAGAGAAAGGACAACTCCAGTTGTGCAATTTGGATGCAACTTGCTTTATTTTGTTTAGTGATGGCTCAACGAGGACGAGCACGTGGTACTAATGTGGAATTTCAACTTGGATCATACGGTACACAATTGTTTAAAATACAATTAAGATGGGTGGCTAGTTTTTGCAAACCAAATTTACCATCATCACATCAATATAAATTATCATGAAAACATTTAATTTGTCATGCCTAAAAATCTGACATCATATTTTTAGCATTTTCCTTTTTTTACTATATGGCCGAGCGATAATTAATTAATTGTTTAAATGTAATGGCACTTGCCAACGACTTGTAATGAGATCGTATTCCACGTGATTCTTTCCCTAGGATATGATATCAATGAAAGATACCCCACTTTATAGTCCAGTGCGCTTGTTAGTAGATAAAATAAGCAAGTCAACGCTTTGGTAATGCAACTGTTCAATAATAGCCCTCGCAAAAAAAAAACGGTTCAATGATATGGGATTATATTCACCAAATAAACAGAGCACAGCACGGCGTGGGTACACTCCTCGCACCTCTGTTTTTTGTGTTTTTGTTTTTGTGTTTTTGTTGGTGGTGGCAGCAAGCTTCAAGGCACATTGTGAAATAAGAGTGGTAGTTAGCCCAAAGAAAAGGCGTGAATACGTGATACGATCATGGGGTAGAGCAAACAGCACCCCGCGTCGACAACTCATTTGATTGCAAATTTTTTAGGTAGCTTACCAAGCTGATCCCTTGGTGTCCACAACTCATTTGATCAGTAAAAGCTGCACACTGGTAAGCAAAATTACATTTGGGAGAACCATGGTATGCATACCAAGGCAAAATCACAGTTGGATCTGACATCAAGATCCTTGGTATGCGTAGTCCTTTGACTCAACCAAGCTAACTTTATAGAGGAATGTTGTTAATAGTATTGCATGGCCAATCCAACAGGCTGCCTCACCGCCTCCTAGAACAGATCCCGGTGTCGTTCATTTCAGGATGGGGGTCCAATACCGGCGCACGTGTATCATGGCCCCCAAAATCCACTCTCACACTACTATAATTTCGACAGTCAATATAACTTCACCCTGCCTCAGCTGCAAGAGCCTGAAAAACAGCACCCACCGGTAGAAGCAAATCTCGTACTAATAAAGTTACAGAAGTGAAACACTGCACCGTAAAATTGAATGAGAAAAAAAAAATGCTCCGCCTCCAAGTCTATACACTACACTGAAAAAAATGGAGAACCCTGCCAACTCGAGTTCAACCCTTTCCATTGGAGGAGCAACGAAGTGGTATGTGGTAACTGATATGCAACAAGAAAAACTCTCTTAACCAGTTGCACTGCCATCCTTGCTCTAAGATCCACTGTCAGCTGGGGAATCGCAGGTAACAGATCCGACGGAAGTCATATGACAGCATAGCGGGCTCACTTGGGCAACAGATTGCAACAACTCCGTGCAAGCCGCGCCTGCTGAGGGTTAGCTCAGAAATGACAGTGGGGCAAGAAGGGGAACTCAGAAACCGAAAACAAGACATACGGGCGTGTACAATTATTTCCTGCCTTCACAGCCATCTCGCTCAAACTTGCAATTACGGAACTTCTTCGGGGGTCGCAGATTGCAATGAATTTCCGATGAATCGTGTCCACGGAATTCAGACACAACAATCAGGGAACACGACTGTCATTCCTAGAGTATCTGCCAGAAGGAATCCTTTGTACCATTGGCTGGAAATCTGGCTTGTAGCGCTTATTATTATAATTGGATGCAAATGACCTGTGGAAAGAGCAAAAACTATTCTGGTCATAACTCAGCTCACCCTCATCCACTACCTAAACTGAGGAACGTAAGCATAAAACTGACTATAATGCTAGAACAGCACAGCATGTGTCGCATAGCTCAGTACAGAGGCAATATATTGAACTCTCAACTTCCTTCAAGCTAAATATAATTAAACAAGCATCATTTCCACTAGCCTGGAATCTACGGAATGAAACTTCCTCCAAACACTTGTATCAAGGGTTTACAATCTGAAGTCAGAGGGATGGTCACTTCTATTTCTTTAATTATCTAACTTAACATCAAACAAGTGAGCCTCATTGTGTAAGCTGCTTATTTCTGTCTAAGCAGTGTGGGGTTCCTATATTATGTGCCAGATGTGCTGTAACCTGATATCATGTTCTGCTTCTATGAAAAGGCAGAAGGTATCTCTTGTTCGAATAAAAACCTAGTACTATGGCAAAACGTCCGAGATACCTCATTTCAAAAGAAATTTCTCGGATCACACCAATAACGAGTGCTAAATGTTACAGATCTACAGCAAACAAGAGACTAGCGAACAATCACCTTGGAGATCCAGGCCGTTTCTGTGGACGTTGACCAAGCATGTATCTCAGAGTCCTGAGAGCCCCATCAGCAGCCTACAACACAATATGATGTAAACAACGGGTTCGGAAACACTGCAAATTAACTGTTATAATCCTATAAAAACTCTTTGTCCAACAAATATCCATTCGGACCTTATAGTTCACTGAATCAAAAGAAGACAACAAGTGTACCCTTAAAATTTGAAGTAATGGTTTTAGAAACCTTAGGAAACCAATCAGACATTGCATCCAGAAAAGATGGTAATGAAGGCTGTGAAGAGAAAGGGCCCTCCCTATTTTGCTCAATGTAAGATAAAAATAGAAACCATGCAAGCACCACTGAGTTTATTTGTTGATTCCAGAACTCAAAGAAGAACGAAGTAAAGAAATAAAATAAATATTTCTCATGTGTAAGCTCACAACCTGCTCCTTAGCTTCCTCCCATGTTACTCCAACTCCTTTTCCCAGGATTTGCCCGCCTATTTCAATCTGAAAAAGCCGAAGACAAACGATAAGAAGGTAGATTGAAAGCATGGATCTAAAACCTACTGAAAGTTAGTCCTAATGAAGTTTTATAGCTAACCCATCAGACCAAAATGTTTTTAAGGGAGAGCATCCACCAATGACGAGTTAACAACAACGTATAACAAATGTTATACTACTACCGTATAGTAATAAACAACACCATGTTACACTATCAGAAAAAGGCGTACAGCTAGATCTCAGACATCTTGTGCTAGCTTTTGAAGTTAATGGAAGCTAGCTTTTGTTAAGTACCCTTAAGTGTATATAGTGTTCCATGTATCAGGTAAAGCTTAATGAGTATTTATGGAGATGAAGTACTAACCTGAGCATGAACTTCTTCCCTTCTCAAACTATCTAATGGAGATGGCTGAGCTTGGAAAACTAAGTTATAACCCTCAGCTGTACACTGCAACAAATCAAAAGATATATCTGAGTTGAAGGGCACACTTGTTCAAAAGTTGAATTAAAGCAGCTACTTACAAGCTCCTTAAGAGCAGCAACAGAACCAGCAGATTTTGTTGAGTTATCAACTCTCTCGTGCATATATCTAGACCCATCCGACGTGCTTGCAACTGGTACTATATTATCTCCATCAATCCCTCTATATTTGAATGAGTTTGGATTGCTACTAAAACCATCATCCATCGGAACTGTCATCTTATCTGGATCAAATGACAGAAATCTATCTGCAGATAAATTTCATCGATCAAAACCAAGAATTAAATTTAACGAATATAATACAATATTATATATGCTGGATAGAAATAACTACGTGCGCATAGATCAGACCGTCAGAAACAATAGAAATTGAGAAATTATGGACATGCAAAACAAATAGAGAAACGTTTCAATGGCTTCAGATGATTAATAGTTAAAAAGGCCACGAGTGTCAGAAATCAGGGCGACAATTTATTTCCAAAATTCTGAGACATTGATAATATGTCAGAAGTCAGCTACTAAAAAAAGCCCCCTTAAACAACTGATTGTCAACCACCTATTTGCATATTTGTCATTTTTCATCCGGAGTCAAGAGACTAGGGAGTACAGCATAAACTCACCTGCCAGATTTCTTAATGATATATTAGCAGCTTGTCGTTGAGCTTCTTTCCTTGTTCTTCCCATTCCTTCACCTACTTTTTCTCCAACAATCCAAATCTGAAAGATCAACACAGAAAATAAGGGATATAGAAATGTGACGTGCTAGTGTGCAAACGGCAAGCAGACTGGAATAATGAGCATGCAGCACAATACTTAAATAGTAGGCAAAAGTTAATGTTAAATAGTGCCTATCCTGTAACTAATGTTATCAAGATTACATCCTGACATCCATAGTAACTTCTATACAATTTCCAATAGAAAGAAAATGACATCCATAGAAAGAAAAATGTCATCATCCATTGGCAGGGTGGTTTATTAACAAAATGACGGTATTGACATTTTCATTCAGCATAAGTTGTACTTTACCTGAATGGAGAATCGCAACTCTGTAGTATCACATAAAGTTGACCTGTACTCCACCTAGAAACAAGTGAAGAAATACACCAGATAGGCAGATGTATAAGCTAATACTTACAGATGACAATGATATCTGATCTGTAGCATCAAAACTACCTTAAATCCACACTTCGCTGCAATCTCCTCCAATACAGCACCAGATGTCTCTGTGTATTGTACAAATTGACGTCCTGACTCCATTTGGCTGCTTCTGTTACCTGGATGAAAACGCTGGGTTGCCATATCCTCGCCTTCACATTGCAGATACAATTTCAGATACTATAGAGTAAAGCACAATCAAATAATTTAAGAGGGGCGTTCATGAAATTGCAAGCTTTTCAAATAATTTATACTCCCTCCGTAAACTAATATAAGAGTGTTTCGATTACTATTTTAGTGATCTAAACGCTCTTATATTAGTTTACAGAGGGAGTACTTTTTATTTGATCAGCTCTATGATAAGCCCCAGAATTAGCACCCAACGACCATGTATATAGGCTCACCAAACGGGTAAAAGGTGATCAGTATTATTCTCTTTGTTAACTGGAAGGAAATACACACCGATGGGTTTACATATACTGGAGTATTGGACCATGAAAAGGCGCACAAATATTTAATTACTTGGCAAAAAGTAACATCTTAGTTCAACATCTAACCACAAAAGACTACGCCAAATGAACAGTTGGAAAATAAGACATGAGAAACGCAGTTAGATATGTTCGTTTTAGATGACAGTAAATACAACTCTATAGGGATAGTACAAGATAAGAGACTATAACATTATATCCTAAATAGCTTAAGCTTCTAAGTTCGGTGGGGACAAAAGGACAATACATTATCCTATGCAGCTGCCATTGTTCAAAATATCGGCCAATAAATGAGTTAGCAGGCCGATCACCTATAATCCCCTACTTGTCAGCCGACCAAGCAGTAACCAGTTAACAATTTCCTGAACATTGGCAGCTGCTAACCTGAATGAACATCAGAAACATCAAAGATAAAAGGCATAGAGCAAAACATACCAGAAAATGATCTATATGTTGTAGGTGCCTGGTTCTGAAGCATTTGACGATCCTCACTGTGAGGTAGCTGAATAAATCAAGCATTTGTCACCAAATCGTCTAAAATCACCTCATTAACGAACAAAGATAAACTAAAGTTTGATCAACATAGATGACCACTCACCTGAGAAGAATATCTCTGGTTCTGATGGTTTAATCTATCGGAAAATATAGGATTATCATGAGCAGGGAAGTATGGCTGATGTGGTGGTTGACTTTTATCACTATGTACAGCATCAGATTCTAGATGAAAGTCCGTTGAAGTCCTATTTAAGTTTCTTGGGTCCATTTCATCCTCTACAGGAAACCAATTTCCCTGAGATTGCACTGGAGGAACTGAGGCTTGTACAGAAGGTTCTGCAGCAAAGGGTGGTGTGGGATCTCTTGTGTCTTGGCCATGCTGTAATATCAGAAGCCTTCTCCTTGTGTCAGGATCTAACTCAGACTCGGGAACCTCACCCTCTTCCCTAGCTGGAGAACCTTGCAAAGGATCCACCATACCAGATTGAGCATCAGGCCAGCTGACTGAAGGAGGCTGAGGACCTTGATCGTTATTCAAAGGCACCATGCCCGGTGGTGGTGCTAACGGAATAGATGAAGATGTAGCAAATTGCTGGTTAGCAGCTACTGGTATCACGTCAACATTTGTTGTCACTGGATCTGCAGCTTGCACACTGCAAACTGCTTCCTGAAAAATAATTTAGATACACATAACTAGGAGAGATCATTAAAAACCCATTAAAAAGGTAATAGCTACTAAGAAATGTGAAGATATTGGCCTCCGTTACATTGACATTTTTGTTACAACACCATAAGACATAGACAAAGGTTTAGCATTGCCAGTTAATTGTTTCAACAAAATAAACAAAGGTCAAAGCTAATAAACAATGGTTAGTTAGTTGTTTCAACAAAATAAAGAAAGGTCAAAGCTAATAAACAACAAACCCTCTCATTCACTTTAAGTAAAAAAGAACTCCTGCATATAGCTAATTTAGCGGTTACTATTGCTGGAACATTCATATATACTTGTGGATAATGACCACCGTGTTTCTTGGATATCACTTGTTTCACAGTTCATCTTTTTATACCGAACATTCAGAACAAGGAAGGGAAGGGCAAACCTTCATTCTCCTCTCAACCTCTGCATCTGCCATACCATCAAAAGCCATCTGATCTTTGTTCACATTCAAACTTGCTGCATTCTCATCCTAACAAGAAAAAATCACTGTTTCTCAGTAGTTAAAAGGAGTAAATCTGAAGCATCCATCTTCACAAAGTTTACCTCTGGAATCAAATAATTTCCAACATCAGGAGAAGACGGGACATGATTTAATTCATCGTCAAAATGAACTTCACTGATCGACGGTAGAAGACCCTCATCGAATTCCCTGTCAATTGAATAGTAACATTCTGCATCAGCAAACAATTCAACATTGTTTTCTGTGTATGTAACAGGAAACAAGTTTCTGTGGTACCATATAGCCAAGATGTTCTTACTTGAAGAAGCTACCCCTAACATTGCATGCAACATTTCTGGCAACGCAAAGAACTGGAATAGGGAAGTTCGCCTGTGCAAGTTAAAGACAGGATGACCTCTGTAAACAATACTGTAAGATAATCATATGCTGGAATACAATACAAAATAGACATTACCTCTGCTTGCGGAGCGTAATACGGAGAGAAGGCAGGAACAACATGAACTCGACATTGGTCCTTCTCCTCCCAAACTTTCAAACGGTCATCAATCACTAGGGCCATACCAGGGTGGCAAGATCCATCATGGAATACATTTAGCAATGACTTTTTAGAGCCTGGATGAGTAAATTTAGCATTAACCTCAAAAGGATGGAAAATCCCACGATATTATATGCATGAACATGGAAATTCCTTGTAAGGAGATTCACTCATTGACAAACTTGATTAAAAGATTATATGAACAAACTATGCATGTCTTGTAGTTGCAATAACTGGAAGCATACTAATACGTACCAGATTTGACACAGACAAGCCTGTGAGGAAGTTGAACAGAGTTTATCAGTCTAGAATCAGGATCAAGCAACCTCCACATTTCCAAGGCATAGTCCCTCTCAGCCATTGTGCACACATACACCTCGAAACGTTTCCGACCTCTTGCAATCAAGTAGCTCCGAAGATCATCCCAAGCAGGCCTTAACCGCACCAGAACACTGGTGTCTCTTATCTAACAGAAAAAGGTAAGGAAAATAAACTGCACAGTCTAACAACAAGCAAACATGGTTGAACCAAAACCCAAGATAAGCAAAACAAAGATCAGCGGGCCCAAGAATAAAGGACACTTGGTCATCCACAACATCAAATGCATGCAACTTGCCATGAATGCTGTGGTTAAGACATCATTTAATTTGATTCAAGCTCTGCACTGTGTAATGCAAGAACAAACTGAAAATGCTGTAACCAAATTGATTGCCATTTTTTTTCAGAAAAAGAAACATGCAACTTGCGAAATCTACAAGATACATTGAATGAATTATGGCAGTAAACTTCAACTGAACACATTATACAAAATATTATAGTGGTATGTTCAGAACATGTTAAAAATGACCTAATAAAAATACAGAGATGACATGCTTTTTTGGCTACATATGCTTCCACAGAAAAGTCATGAACTACGTACCGATGGATTTATACGTGTCAATATAATACTTTTCTCTTGTAGCCTGATAACAGGACGTATCATAGGTTGATGATTATCAGCTAAAGGTGGAACAACCTCAGATTGTACTTTATACACTTTCCCACCATCAGTAACTTGATCACCATCTATATACTGCTTTAGCATAGACCTGTCCTCTTGGTACCTCTTGATCTCTGCCAACATACCACTAATACGCTGTGGATCAATCTCTTTACTCAATTTTCTCTGGAGTGCATCAATTCTGTCTTCAAAAGACCGTGTGGTATTGGCAACAATTAGTGTTTCATCAAGGTCAAACACAATACCAAGGCATCGAAGATTCAACATACTCAAGCAAGAATTATACAAGCCTAATGGTACTTTATAGCCCCAAAAACATGCGTGGTTGGGCAAGCTACTCTTGGGTTTCATTGCAACTAAATGGATTTCTTCTGCTCCAAGTGGAAAAACTGCTGTCTGCAAACACGGAGAATCGATAGGAAGGAGATAAGATAAACAGAACAACTGTTTAATTAGGAAATAAAGAGGAAATAAAGTAAAAACACACCCAAGTACAAGGAGAATAGCAGGGTATTTAGCACATCTCTGTACAAAGATGCCTAACAAAAAAAAAGAAATAAAAGGCGAAGTACAGGATATTTTGTTACAGACTTTGAGGCATGGATTGGCTCAAAACTATTTATACCAAAATCTTAAAACAGGAATATTCATAGCAATGCGATGATCAAAGTTACTACTACTAAAATTTATGATATGATGAACTACAAGGGCAAACGATGTAACTTAATATAGTTGTACTCTCACAAAAATTAAGTCCCAGTCACTAGCCAGCGGATGAATTCCAGGCACATTAGTGTGCTACACCCCAAAGCTGTTAAGCAACACTTCGCTCATTCCTCAAATATTTCTGTCGGTACATGGAGTTCCGCAGTTCAGAGTTCACATACAATTGCAGTGATGAACCGCTGAGAACAAGTAATGCTAAGTCCAAAGTCCATAACAGTTGTATGCCTTGAGAAGCAACAGTTTGCATTCAAGAGTCTGAGAATATGATTGATTTGTTTATGAAATATGAACACTGCTCTAGAAACCTTAGTCATTCAGCAATACCAGGCCAGGTTAAATATATTTCTAGTCTTTAAAATTATTCATGCCCAAGTTATATAGTACTCATTAATGCAGTAAATGTTTCAGGGGAAGCTTTTCACAGGGTACTTGGTGTGCTAAACTGCTAATCAATACTCCTTGTTCGGGTGAACTTGTCCATGTAAGGTTAGAAAAGGTTTTACTTCTACTCATTTGTTCTGTGGCTTGTGATGGTTGGGAATGATTCATGTAGTACCTTATTGTCTCTGAGGCAAGCGGTGTGCATGGCAACAAGCGACGACGGGGGCTCGTCGTCAGCGGTTGCTGGGCTTGGCCTCGACTCCATTACGAAGCAGAGGGCGCCGGAGGACACAGTGTGCAGCACGGCGAGCGGCAGGCACCGCTCGCTGGGCGGGGAGAGGCGGTCCACCCGGATCTCCCGCACCCACGGCGCCGCCGCCACGTTCGTCTCCCCCTTGGGCCACAGCTCCACCTCCCCGATGGAGATGTGCCCGAAATACACCATCGATTTGATCATTGTCCTCGGCACCAACAGAACAGATCACACGAATCGAATCCGAACTCAGTCCGAGTCAGTGTGCCTTCCACACGCGCGCGCGCGCACTGGTCTGATAGACCCTGCACGCTGGTGGATCTGTTCTTATCGCGCCGTCCAAAAACAGAGGAAATTAGAAGAGGGCAGAGGAGGGAGAATCGCGGCGGTCTTATGGTGCTTGTGTGCTTCAAATCGCGTTCGACTTCGCGTTCTTGGCCGATTCCGGCCGGGTTTGGTGGGGAGCCGGTGCAAATCCGCGGCAATGGCGGCGGCGGACGAGCTCGGGGGTGGGCTCAGTGGGCGGGCGGTTGGGTCGGGGAAACCCTAGCGTTTGATCGGGCTGGAGGATGGGGAAGACGACCAGCGAGGCCACGTGTATTTAGAGAGGCGGGGAGGTAGGAAGATATTCCAGTTTCTCTGTTGTTTTCAAACATGATATTTATTTTAGGACACAGCTAGCCAGCACCAGTTGGCTGGTTAGTGCCCCCGAGCACACATCCTAAAAAAGCAAATATCTGTCCACGCCGTTTTAAAAAAGGAAAGGTTGTCCCATGTGGCTGTCAACGGCCACCCCACCACATGGTTCCATCATGTTATAATGCCTTTCTGCAATCATATGGAGCACACAAGTTAGAAAATGCATCACATGCACTTAATTCATTTAGAAAAAACTTGAAAAAAGCTATAACTTTTAAACTGAGCGTCAAAATTAAGTTTCGTTTTTACCGTTTTGTTTCTTGCAATGAGCTCTTCGAAACAAGACCTCGTATGGGTATGTTTCGCCAAACTATTTTTTTCAAGCAACTTTGATGCTATCTAGGGCTACTTTGGTGCTACAGGAAGCAATTTTGCAGTAGACTGCCCATCACAATTACATATCCACTGCAAGCACTCGAAAGTTGACTACTAGTGATACAAAAATACTTTGGTGCTATATGAGGAAACATTGATGCTACACGAAGCAACTTTGCAGAAGATTACCTATCACGGTTACATATCTACCCCTAAGCACTTCTAAGTTGGCTACCATTACTACAGGAAGCAACTTGATAGGACAACTTTGATGTTGCCTAATACTCCCTCCGTCCGAAAACACTTGTCATCAAAATGGATAAAAAGAGATGTATCTAGCACTAAAATACATCTAGATACATCCTCTTTTATTCATTTTAATGACAAGTGTTTCCGGACGGAGGGAGTATCACATATAAAGTTGCCTATCATGGATGTCTATCAACTCAAAATGTATTCCCCTAAGTTGAACAATATGACTTCCATGCCTAACGCCGTTTCAAAGTTGCATACATCATCTCTAAAGTTGGCTAACATTATCCTAATTTGCCTACAGGTACTTTCTAGTACCATAAGAAACTTCGCTTTAGAGGTAGACAAAACTTATAGACTAGTTGTTTGAAGTGGAAACTTTCCGCTAACTTTGCCTGCAATACTACAAAGTTAGACAACTTTAAAATGACATTAGGCAACTTTGCCACGAAGTACTTTCCTTGAACATTATCCTAACTTGCCTACAAGTACTTTCTAGTACTATAAGGCAACTTTTCCCTAACATTATCCATGTATCAAAATAATAGGTGTTGATTATGTTACAACCAAAATGGTTTGCATATTTAGGTGGACCAAATGAAAAGCTATTTCCGCGTATCAAATTAGTGGATAACAAAATATCTACAAAACTTAGGTGATTTAGGCAAGTACTGTCTATATGTAGGCAACTTATCCTATTGAAAAATGAGGACTAGGCAGTAGCCTAGTGGCAAGGGTGCAGTGGCACTTCCGCAATCTCATCCAGGTGGGCTCCTTCTATAAAAATATGTCCCGGGTGCTAGTGCCCATGGATCTCATTTTTTTATCCTATTGAAAATAGCAACTTTTGGGCAAATTAAATTAATTTGTTGCTAAAAATATCTTTGGGCAACTCGTGTCAACTCTATAGTAACTAACTATCATGTGTTGGGAAAGTTTTGGGCAAAATAAAACCCAACACTCTCGGGAGTGGATCTCTAGGCAACTAGCGCCAACATCTCCAGCAACTAACTGTCAAGCGCTGGCCAAATTTTGGACACTTACGGCTCAAAACGTTGACGATGCCATCCCCTGCACCCCCACGCCGCAAAACCACCCCCGTAAACAAAGTCGTTGATTCTTCCAAAAACCCGGGGCTGCGCACAACCATTTTCAACCTCCCTATCCTGCCTCTAACACATAGTCATAGATTTGAGTATAAAAACACATGCTTAGGGGGGCGATTTTGAGATACTTACTGGTGATTTGCAGCCCAATTTCTCGATCACTAGCAACAAAGTTTTTCCGGATCTAGCTCCTCCCTGCTAGGTGGTCGCAACGCATAAATGGCAGCGTCCTCTTGGCTCTCGCTCCTGCTTCGCTTGCTGGTTGCCGGCACTCCAAGACCTCTCTCCTCCAACCGCTTGCTGGTTGCCACAAATCATATGCCAAATTATTAGGCAAGTTAGGGCAGGTTACTGTAGAATCATTGACTTAGAAGGAAGCAAAATCATCAATTATAAAAACTACTCAATTCTCAGGCAACAAGTAGTGTAACTACTACAACACTCATCAGACAGAAATCAAATCACCAACCTAAACATGCAGATCATGCGCAAAGTTCTTAGTCATTCCAGTCTGCAGGAAGATCCTCTATACGCATTATTTCCAATGAACACCCGAACACCAACACAACTTCACCATCCTAGTACCAAGAAGCAAAAAAAATTATATTAACAAGTTTTCTGTGCATCTATTTTCAGTTTTTCACACACAAGAAAACATCCCTCTGATGTTGCTAAATCAACTTCTGTGTGAAAAATATACAACTCACAACTCATACAAAAAAATCAAGCAAGAAGGAGGACCAATTCATGTGCAACACGGCGCCGTGTTTGTCGGGGAGGTGCCATGCTTCTCATGCGGCTGTATTCTACAAAAGCGCACCTGCTGGCCATTGCATATTTGCATTGCCCCCCACACTCACATGGCAACAATTCAGAGTTGACACAGGGGAAATACACAACCTTGGACTCATTGAAAACAACCAATGAATATCAGGATAGAGTGAAGAGCTACGAATTTAAATGGGCAAACTGGACATGCATGATAAACCTGAGTTCCCAACAAGGAACCAGGCAGGGGACATGCCGACAAACTCTATCAGATATATGCAGTCTCAGGTAATGATGATGATACTTGTATTTAAACATACAGATGGATTATGTTCACCGGAAGAGCTAGGCCAGGGGCAAAAAGCAAGTGTTCATGTGATGTAGGCAATTTGCATATAAGTTTCAGGCAACTCCCTTTATTTTCTAGAACAAAAAATGCTAACAGCTAGCTACTGGGAGGCAGAAAAAACTAGTTAGAAACTACTGGGGATGTGTGAAATATACCTGGAAGTGGCTGGCATAGCTTCTTGGTTGCAAAGAGGAAAAACAAAAAGCAAGTCCTGCTGGGATGTAGGCAAAATGCATAAGTTTTGAGGCAACTCCTCTTTTTTGCTGAAACAAAAAAATAGATAGCTCCTGGAAGTGGATATTGAAGCTTCTTGCTTGGCCGTGTGCACAAAACCTCGAAAATGTTGCTTTGACAAGAATTTAGTGAGGCCTTGCAAACAAAACAAACCATTTGTTTAGGCAAGAATATCTACAAAAGCATATTTATGAAACTTAGGTGATTACAGTGGCGTTTTGAACAAAAAAAATGTGGATCTATATTGTGTGGAACATCAAGTTGTTCTGTGCTTCCCTGGCAAATGCATCAGTGGTTGAAGGCAAGTTGTACTCTGATCTAAGCAAATTGCATAATATATCCTGGCAACTCCAGGTTTTGATTAGAAAAAGGATTGAAAGGTAGCAACTCGTACTAGGTTTGCAGGCAATTTTCATAGGTTCTGCAGCCAACTCATTAGTTTGCTAGCCTAAGAAAAATAAATAGTGGAAGTCAGGAGCAACTACTACTTTGTTTGTAGGAAATTTGCCTACAAGTTTTAGGCAAACCTATATTGTATGGAAATCAAGTTGTGTTGTATCCCCTGGACAAAGGCTTTAGTTGTTGCAAGCAAGTTGTGCTATGATATAAGCAAATTGCATACTATCCAGGCAAACCAGGTTTTGTTTAGAAAAAAGATTAAAAGGTAGCACCCCATACTGGGTTTGTAGACAATTTCCATAGATTCTGCAGTCAACTCATTAGCTTGCTTGCCAAAGAAAATAAAATAGTGCATACAAACTGCCTATCGATCCATTGAGCAAGTCCAATAGCAGAAATGAGGCAACTACTTATCAAAACGTCATGCAAGTTTGAGCAAGTCCAATATTAGTAATGAGTCCAATAGCTCGATGCAAATCTTGATTTTTTTTCTGCTTTATTATATGCTCTAATCACTTGGACACAAAAAAGCAAATATCTATCGAGTTTTTATACACGACACATGTTCTTTTTAATGGACACTGTTCAAAAAATCATCCGTTCAACGATTTATCGCTACTCGGGGGATGACCGATATGATTAATTGCAGGAGGTCATCCTGAATGCCCTTTTTGCCTGTCCCGTATATTTGTTTCTCCTGCATATAAAAGAAAAAATAAAACACAATGATGTCAATGCCCTTATGAACCGATTACTAATCAAAGACTACAACTACCTATGCATAGTCATATTCTCTCATGATGTGTGTTAAGTTAATCTAACATAAGAGGTATGTGAAGTACACATATCATACTAAAAAAATGGACCTAAAAAATAGCAGTGAATATATTTCAGTTGTGACTGTATATTGTGCCTAGTACTGTAACAAACTCACACACCATATCTGGCAAAAACCTCTAACAAATGAGGTAAAAGGCAGAACCATATCAGGCGAACTAAGAATCGAAGTGTTGAACAAAACAAAATGGATTGTCCATTAACTGAATTTCCCTCCATTGCTATACTCAGTAACAGAACAAATG